ATAGATAGAGACAGAAAGACAGACAGACAGACAGATACATGGGTAGGTAGGTAGATAGACAGACTACAGACAGACAGATACATAGACAGACAGACAGATAGATGGGTAGGTAGGTAGGTAGGTAGGTAGACAGACAGACAGACAAGCTAGCTAGCTAGAGGTATGTATGTGTGTATATATGTATGGAGAGAGAGAGAGAGAGAGAGAGAGAACATCAAGAATCTCATATTATGTCACAAGATTGTACAAGCCCTCAGCTTATGATTGCAACAGGTTGTAAGTAGTGCTGGTCATTAAGCAGGTCATCAGGTGATTTTGACTGATTTTATAACAGTTGTTAAGCAAACACCAAGTTAAGTAATCCCATTGTTTCCAATGGGTGTTTTTTACTGGAAACTAGAAATAAATGGAAGTTTCACACAAAAATAATTTTAAATCAAAAGGCTATCTAAGGCTTATTTATGCTGTTTTGTAAGTAGATCCTAGAGAGGAATAAAAAGTTGAACCAAGGCAAGGCAGAAAAATCAGATTTAATCATTTTTGCTGATCCTGTTAGCCCTCCTATCTCTCAATAGCCATAATTGGCTTTTGGAGAAAAATTCCCACTATATATGCATGTGGTTGCTTTTATTTTCACCTGCACACCCATGAGTATGGAAACAACCCAGTTGTTAGTAGCACAATCTGAGCATTGCATACATTCAAAAAGGCTGAAAAAAAAATCACACAGCTCTCATTAAAATGGAAAGAGGAGTAAACTGTGGTTCTTGAGTAATTCATTCTTGAGGGGTGAACAGTTCTTGAGTCAGGAATAAAATACATTAGCTGTGAAATGTCGCATCTTCTCTGAAATTTTAACATCTTCTGCCTCTTTCTAGTAAATCCACTCCTGATTTCTCATGAAGAGATTTCCTTACTCATTAAAGCCAACTGAGATGATGCCAGATGATGGAAAATACTACAAGTAGGCCTCAACTTACAATCATTCTCTTCGTGACCATTTCATGTTACAACCACATTGAGAAAAGGGATGACCAGTTCCTACACTTACAACTGTCACAACATCCCCACAACATCCCCACATATGCCAGTCACATGATCCCCATGTGATCATGTGACCAGCATATATTCATAATGGATGCAGGATCCTGGAGTCAGTGATCACCATTTGTAAGCTACCCAGCCAACTTCTAACAGGCAAAGTCAACCGGGGAGGTTGGATTTGATTAAGGACTGCAGGATTCATTTAAAAACTGCTGCCATGGCAAAAAAAGTTTGCAGAATCAGGTGTGACCCTCTTAACAATTTCCTTGCTTAGCAATGGAAACTTTTTTTCCACTTGTGGTTGTAACTGTACTTTAATCCTGTCGCAGTTAAGGAGGACATGAACCTGTGACTGGGATAAAGACAACATGGTGGAGACAAAGTCTTCGCTAGGTGTGGACATGGCCAAACCCTCCCCTGAGTTTGTGACCCTACAAACATGTGTTTATCTTCCTGGCAGCATATACATAGTGCTCGACTTACAACAGTTCATTTAGTGACTGTTCAAAGTTACAATGCCGCTGAAAAAAAGCGACTGACGACTGTTTTTTGCATTTATAACCATTGTAGCATTCCCCTTGGCCACATCATCAAAATTCAGACACTTGGCTCATATTTATGACGGTCACAGTGGCCCCGGATCATGTGATCTCCTTTTGTGACCTTCTAGCAAGCAAAGTCAATGGGGAAGCCAGATTCACTTAACAACCGTGTTACTAATTTAATAGATGCAGTGATATACACTTAAAAACTGGGACGAGAGAAGTCATAAAATGGGGCACTATTCACTTAATAACTCTCTTGGTTACCAACATCAATTCTGACTTGGGATCTACCTGTACACAGGAGGTTTGTCATTGTTCTCCTAGATTCGTGTGTACTTTCCATCTTCCGTTTAGACCTGGTGAATTCTTACTCGCATCCAGGTGTATTCTGCTACATCTTTTGCAGCCTTACTCCCTCCCAACAAGATTTAAGAGGTGGAAACCAGCAGAGAGAGAAGAAAGCAAGCCCGTGTGAATTAATGCTGCTTTAGCCTTCCAAGCACCCCTTCTGAAGGCAGCTCTCCCACCTTCTCCTCCCTCTCCCCCTACCCACTTTTGCTGCTGATGACTCAGGCCTCAAACAATGCCACCCACCTGTTCACGGCCATCTTCTCCTGCCCCAGGACTGGCGAGCTGCTGCATTCACCCTGTTGCTATCATCGGAAAGAACTTCTTGAAAAAGATGCACCCAACCCGCCTCAGTGTTGGAAATGTCCAAGAGCTTTTCATCCACTTTAAAAGGGACAGTCTCTGCCCTAAACAAATATGCTTCCCTAAGCAAAACGTCTATTGTGTCCCTGTGTAAGCTTGGTGTCAGCCCAGTGCCAATTCCAGGGTAGTAGAAATATGTGGTGCAGAACACTGTGTAAGTCCCTTTTGGCCTCTTCCTTCTCCTCCTCCTTTGACATCTTTCTCCCTTAGATCTCGGAAGTGGGGTGGATTCCCACATGACTTAAAGCCATCTGGGTTCTAAATGCATCCTCTCTATTTGCTTCACTTCCTCCTTACAGCCTGCATGTCTGTGGAGATTCTCAATCTTCCATATCATGGTTGTCTCAAAAGTGTTTTTCCAAAAGGCAATTGGGTTTTCTTATTTTTTTTCCCCCTTTGAAACATTTCACTTTTCATCCAAGAAGCTTTTTCAGCTCTAGCTGACTGAACTTCCCACCATTTAGTTAGAAATGAAGAAGCTTCTTGGATGAGAAGTGAAACATTTTCAAACAAACAAACAAAAAACACAAGAAAGTCCAATTGCCTTTTGCAAAAGCATCCTTGAGATGCACCCTTCATGCAAAGACTCTTGAGAAATTCCAGCAACCTCATCAAACTCCTTTGAGATCTTTTAAAACAATGTTTTTCAACCTCAGCAACT